AAACTACTTTGTTTGGTCTTCCAAAAGAGGACGATATCCGCTTCGTCATGCCTAGAGCTGATCCGTGCTGGTCACTGAGGAAATACTACAACTTAGTGCTGCTCAGCTCACGCTGGCTGTTCTGACTCACAGTCTGTAAGTACGTTTTTTATATTTAAAGAATTTGCCACTGATGATTCAAACGCGAGTTTTGGGCAGTGTAGAGTAGCGCTTGTTGTTTGTCATTTCTCCGATCACAAATGCAGACATGGTTTTATGTTTACGCTGCGCGATGCAACGCAACACGTAAAAAGACAGTATAAGTCATTATAATCAGTAATTATGTCCCCACTGGATGCAACAAATGCCTCGTTTATAATGGGTTTTAATGTTTTTGTCTCGTCGCTCCGGCCGGACACGGCATCATCACAGTATGGTGAGGGGCGTAACATTTCCGTCACACGCTTGAGGTATTCGGCCAATCACAACGCACTGGATAGCTGGCCAATCACAGCACACCTTGCTTTTCAGACCGATGAGCTTTGTAAAAATCGACGCGTTTCAGAAAGGCGGGGCATAGAGGAGAAACAATAATGTACAGTATGTGGAAAATAATGTGTTTTTAACCTTAAACCACATAAACACATTTCATTACACCAAATACACAAAATAATGTTCTTTTTAGCAGCATCATATGACCCCTTTAATATCAAGCACTGCATTACCATGAAAATGGTAGATTAATATCATGTTACAAAATGTTTTCGTTCATGAATTATAAAAATTTAAGTTTGGATCGTGCACTTTCACATCTATGTTCAAAAATGTGTGACAGTTAAAGGGGTTAAATAAATAAATAAATATTGACACTTGAAAATACCTTCATTCAATTTCACAAAACGAAGCACATTTTCTGGTCACTTTCTGTGTGAGTCTGACATCTAGTGGACTTTATATTATCTGTGAATGTACACTTTGACCACAAAACCAGTCATAGGGGTCTTCTTTAAACCTGATAAATAAATAAGTTTTCTATTGATGTATGGTTTGTTAGGATAGGACAATATTTGAAAAAAATCAAAATATTGAGAAAATTGCCTTTAAAGCAGATCAAAACATTTATTTATTTGGTAGTCTTTCCTATTAAAAAAAAAACAGATGTGCTTTCTCATGATGGATGCCTTATTAACAAACTGAAAGATTCGGATAAACTGATATTAATAATATTATTCACCATATTAAATCCCTACAATTTATTTTGCACATCGATGCTTCTCAAATATTTTGCAAAAATTAGTACAAATTCCTTCAAGCAATAATGCATGTAAAAATATTTATTTAGACAGAACACACTGGGTAATCGACACAATGCAAAATAACATGGGTACCAAAAGCTGAGCGTGTTTCCCTGAAGCTGAAATCCATCCGTACTAAAACAAAGGCAGAGCGTACATTTATTCTCATGTGTTGCATGTTGGTTAGCAACACTTTGGCCACACATTAAATAATATTGCATTAAAATAAAATAAAAAAACACCAAGATAGGCTTCTCAATGTCTTCATGAGCCATGAAACATATACACAGCGACAATTTACATGAGAAATTCAGTTTACATAAGACCTTCCTTATGCTTTTCTTTCATGAACAAGGCCTTAAAGGGACAGTTCACCCACAAAATGAAAATACTGTCATCATTTACTTGTTGTTGTTTCGTCCTTCTGCTGAACACAAAAGCAGATAATCTGAAGAACGTGAGTAACCGAACAGTTACTGGTCCCTATTGACTACTATAGCATGGAAACAAAATACTATGGAAGTCAATGGGGACCTGCAGCAACTGTTTGGTTACACATGTTCTTCAGATTATCTGCTTTTGTGTTCAGCAGAAGAAACGTATACAGGTTCGGAACAACATGAGGGCGAGTAAATGGTGACAGAATTGTCATTTTTGGGTGAACTGTCCCTTTAAGTGGTTTTAAAAAAGTGCCAAAATGGCTGATGGCTTAGGGTTACACACCAGAGAAACCTCTGAGAGAAATAGACTCGGTTCAGTAAAACCAAGAGTCAATTTAAGACAGAGTTGCCACAAACGTTAAAACATTGTGTACTCACCCAATACAACCAGAGCAAACCAGGGGAAATAGTTTAAGGGAGTGTTGTGGCAGACAGAGTGCAGATACAGTACATACAAACAGAAAGCACTTGAGAAATACTACAGTTAATGCACAGATACATTTAGCATTCCATGTTAAAACCGACGGGAATTTTCTTGCATCTTTTGACTTTCTCAAAGTCAACATTTGAAGATTCTACATTTTCATCTGGCAAATATTCACTATGACACAGCAGGCCTTATTAAAACAGCACAAAAAATACAAAGCAGCTAAAAGGATTTTACCCTTTATGATAATTCATAAACCTCACCACACTGGGTCGAAAATGAAGGGAACTAATATACCCAAATATACAGTTTTAAACTGTTTGTGTGACAATATTGTAAAATAATTACATTTTTGTAATTGTAATTTAAATACTATTTAATAGTTAGATTTTGTCATAGCATTGGCAATACAGGATTTAAAGAGGTTTCAGAAGACTGTAGCCATTTTCATCTTGACCTGAGTGAAGAATAGGAGTGTTCACTGAATAATAACCCACAGCCGGCTGAACTAATTGACTGAAATGAGCAGAAAATCTGTCTGCTTAATCTTGAAGACAGTCAAGAGATGAATCTCACAAAAACATGTCCAGGTCAAGTTCACTTGCCCCCCAAAATTATATCTGATTTGAATATTTTTTTTTTAAATGTGCTTAAGTGTGCATAAAAACAAAAAGATAATACATAATCATTTATTATTATTACCATTTTATTCAAATAAGATATTGTTGCATCATGGTAATGAGAAGTGAAGTGTGTGGAGGCTATTAAATTATGAATATAACATCACAATGCAATAATATTAATGGTCCTAAAAGTGGACTTGTTAAATATATGCAAAATATTTAGCTTTTTCTTCTTTTTGGGGATGTAAATATAACCCGGACTTGTTCTTGACAGGTTTCATGAGATTCAACACCACATTTTTGAGAGAATGTAACTCTATGAAAAAGAAAAACATATGTCCTAGAACAATATTTGAATAAAACTACAGCAGTAGGCAAGAGAGAGTGGAATGACCCCAGAAATCAGTCTGTGCCTTTATAATATAAAGGCCTTTCAGTAAATAAGGTACCCTTTTTATATTTCCAAGTGGATAACCTCTACAAGCAAGCAATACATTTCAGCTGGCATTGCGTCTTTTACTAAGGAGCCCCTAAGGGAACGTGGTAATGTAAAAAATACGAGATGGGGGAAAAATTGTCAATACTTTTGCATTCACCTAAGAAAATTTACATTCGCTCGCAAAAGTACATTGCGTTCCCCTAAAAAAAGTTTCAGTCACTTACAAAACATTTGTACTCTCCCAATAAACTTTTGCATTTGCTTGCAAAAGTATTGCATTTCCCAAAAAAAGCACTGAAATAAAGTTTTTTTTCTTCAATCTCATATTATTTCCAGTTGTGCATTCAATGCACAAAGTTTTTCAGGGGAATGCAAAACTTTTGCAAGCAAATGAGATCATTTTTTCCTCCCATCCTATGCTTTCCAAGACTATGACCTCTTAGGAGCTCCATACTTTTACACACAGAAATAGGATCTTATTGTGAGTCCAGTCATCTATGGCCGATTTGTGGCACTGTTTTAAGTTAAATGAACTCACATCACATTTCTCATTACCTTATTTATTGAAATGCCCCTGTAATCGTAGCTACATCGATAAAGAGCACTAGAACTAATCAAAATCATTCTATAAATTATTTCTGTACACTATCTATAGCTTCAGTTGCTTTACATCAAGTTACAGACGTACATTGACACAGCAGACAGCAGAAGGAGAAACGCCACTCATGCCTTTCAACATCAGTGATTACGCTAATCTGAAAAATCATTACAATGAAAACAGAAAAAAAACAAGATATGCAAATTTGAACATTGTAAACGGCAAAGTAACAATCACATTTCCATAAAAATGCATTTGTTGTGCTCATGTTTAAACACAAAGTACTTCCTGTCCTTCCATTGCACTGAGCAGTTTGGCACCGCATGACTGTAAGCAGCCACTTTCTCATACAAACATTGTTGTCGGCTCCGTGCTGATCACTCAATCAAAAATAAAAGCAGTCTTTTCATGGCGAAATGAGCAAACAAAAGAGAACCGACCCAAAACGACTGTTCGCATTGGTTCCAGACCCACAGATGTGCGCGATGAAAAGCAACAGTTCACGGCAAGCCACAGAAGAAAGCAGGGACACACTTTGCACTTCTATAAAAAAAAAAAAAATAAATAAAAAATTCTCTCTCTTTATTTATTCCTTCTCTTTCTAGCTTGTACTTATTTGAACAATGTCTAAGAACTTGGTATTACAACCACTTCCTGTGTCTGTTTGCCTCTTTAAGAAGAATCGCTTTATGTATCCCCCAATTGTAAGTCGCTTTGGATAAAAGCGTCT